GGGCATGGGTTCTGGCCATGGAGGCTCTTGGCCCTCGACTGCGAAATCTTCTGAGTGTATGCTTAGAACATGGCCAATTTCCACAGCGATGGAAAACTGGAAAACTGGTTCTGATCAGGAATGCAGGACGCCTGGCTGACTTCCCGTCCGCCTATCGGCCCATCGTGCTGCTGGATGAGGTAGGCAAGTTGTTCGAGCGAATCATTACTGATCGCCTCATTCAACACCTCTCATCAGAAGAGCCAGATTTGGCGGACAACCAGTTTGGATTCCGTCAAGGGCGGTCGACTGTAGATGCCATTATGCGAGTAAAGACCATCGCGAAAGAAGCTGTGTTCCGGGGTGAGGTGGTCTTTCTTGGCGGTGTCTTTAGACATCGCCAATGCGTTTAACACTTTGCCCTGGAGCTGTATCAAAGAGGTACTCCGGTATCACGGAGTGCCTGCCTACCTCCGCCGCACAGTCGAGGTCTACCTATCGGATAGAGCGATAATCTACCCGGGTGCTCAGAGATGGGCGTTATCATCAGCCCCTGCTATAACGCAGCGTCCACGTGGAACAGGTCGTACAAATCCTGCTCGATGCACGCGTAACCTTTGTTGAGTATTTGTGAAACACATTAAAAAACATTTTAAATACTGTAGGGTAACAAGAACGCTCCCGAAAAATGCCGACAGCAGGTGATGGTAAAAATGAAGTTTTATTTACATAAAAGTAAATATTTAAATGTGTCTTTTTGGGATGATTTTTTTTTAAAGGGGGAAAAATCATCGAATGACTGCTCCCGCCTGGGTGAGGCGGGAGGGAGTCAGACTCTTACTGACTAAAAACCACCCCGTTCCTTCTCCTGCACGTCGAGCCGGAGCCCCGATAACCCTTTAAGTTCTCCGCGACATCTTTTTGGGATGATGACAGGGTATGAAAATTAAAAATAAAATAGAGATAAGAGATAAGTCAATAATAATTCTATAGACTATAAACAGTACACAGTTAGAGATGAATTACAGACAGATCTTAAAATTATTTATCCTGCGAGAGCGATCTAGAAACGAAAGGGGAGCAAAAACAACAAACTCATTGAAGTGTCCTACGTGACAATACGCACGCGGGACGCGGTGCGGAGCGGCGCGACATGACGCTTACGAGAGCTTTTTAGCAAACATTTTACATGAACATAATTTAATTGGTTATCACTTAAAAATTCTAAGATACTTAATAAGTTATGTTTTTTAACAATGCGAAAAAGTCTCTTCGGAGGCGTGGGAAACAAAATATTTCTAAGGAAAGCAGCTAATCTACTTCGTTCAAAAGAACAGACCTATTGTTATATAGTCCTTAACTGATAATTTGAAAAGTATTGGAAATATTGGAACAAAAGAAATGCTCAGGGCTCTGGACTATATAAGGGAGGATTTTCAAGAACGTGCACACTTACAGTTTAGACTGCATACAGTGACTACATATAGCGACGTGAAAATATTAGTGAAAGTTTATCGTGAATCATGGATTCTGTTAACATTTTCAATATATCAACAAGTCAAGAAGAGAAACCAGGAACCGAAGTTGCTCACACTTCGTTCCGATCGATTGAGGAATTCCATATTCTCAATAGAGTTGATGAAGGCACATATGGAGTCGTTTACAAAGCTGTCAACAAGAAAACAGGGGACGACGTCGCCCTAAAACATTTTAAAAGAATTAATGAGAGGACAGGATTCTCCATCGCCGCGCAGAGAGAACTCGACCTATTGATGGAGATGGGCCATGTCAACATTGTCACAGGGCACGAGATTGTGGTGGGCTCCAGAAACGACGAGGTGTTCCTAGTGATGGAGTACGTGCCTCACGGAGTCTACAATTTAATGGTGACAATGCGTAACAACAGACTAATGTTTGGCGCCGAGCACGTCAAGTGCCTAATGTTACAACTTCTAAGCGCCGTGCAATATCTACACGACAGCTGTATATTACACAGAGATCTCAAAACAAACAACATTCTACTAACAGAAGATGGTGTTCTGAAGGTGGTAGATTTTGGGATGGCCCGAGAATTTGAATCCCCTCACCAGCAATATTCGCCGGGCGTGGTAACACGTTGGTACCGTGCACCTGAACTGCTGCTACATAGCAAGACATACTCTACTCCGATAGACATGTGGAGTGTTGGGTGTATATTTGCTGAGTTTGTTAATATGCAGCCACTGTTTCCCGGGACATCTGATTTGAATCAATTGAAAATGATATTCCAGCAGTTGGGTACGCCTTCCGAAAATGTGTGGCCCGGCTACAGCGCATTGCCACTGACAAGCGAAGTTATATTTGATCAACATCCACCGGGCGGATTGCGCAATGAGATAAAGCGGAGTCTACTCTCGGATAGTGGTTTATCTTTATTGGAACAATTTTTGATATATGATCCGTCAAGACGCATGACAGCAACCGAAGCGTTGCAGCATCCTTACTTTGATGAGCAGCCTGTGGCGATCGAACCAGCCATGTTCCTGTCGTCGCTAGAGTTGGAATACGTCGACCTGTACTACGACTACGACATGGACGACAACGTGCATTCGTCCGGGTTTGAGACAGAAGAATGTAACTCCTACTACTCAGGATATCCCGTTGGTAGCTCAGAGTACAATGATGACGCGACGTAATAATGGCTTAAATGTTAAGGTCTCATCATTCGAAAAATATTGCAAATATTGGCAATATTGGCAGCACGACCACCTCTGGGGACAAGCGCCATACCATTGGTGCCCCAAACCGGTGACGGTTTCGGCCTCCTGTGAGACCTGCTTGCCCCGACCGACCCACCGGACGCTACGTGAATCTTCCACCCGGCCGCTCACGGACGGGAGCCTGCTGCTCGCGCCGGCTGAGCACAGCCCTTAGCGGCGCAATCCATCACACTCGGCACCATATCGGGCCTCGCAAGAGGCCTGACTACTCCAACACCTCGCTTGCAGTCGCAGGCAGCGATTATATACCGCCAGAACAGGCATCAGCCTGGATCACGCATCCTCACTCCTGACCCAGTCAGGACTGGTGAGACAACCCGGGCGGGGACGTGCACACTTACAGTTTGGACTGCGGACAGTGACTACACATTGTGAAGTGAAGTGATTAGTGAACGTTTACCGTTAATCGTGAATTCTGTGAATATTTTCAATGCCTTTATCACTATATTCCCTATGGTTGACTATCAAAGAATGCCTTAAGGCTTAAGTCCGCCATTCACTGTTATCTTTTGTGCAGAACAAATAAATACCTATATTGTACAAAAAAGTTACGAATTCGCGAATGTAAATAATAGTTTATAAATTTAATATATACTGTGTAGTTATGTCTGTGTGTAATAGTATTTATGTAAGATTCCAATAGTAGGTGATTCAATACTTTCATTCTAATGTAGACAATCTAGTTTCCTTATGGCATCTAGCATCTCTTTCTTTATTGAACCAAAGAGTTTCCTTTTTCTTGTACTTGCACTATTTTTATGGATTGTCAGTATGCATATGTGAGCACCATGTTAGACTAAGATTTTTTTTGTTTTGTTTTTTTTTTATTTTAGCAAGTTTTGTAATTAGTATAATGCGTCAAGCGTGTCTTTGCATTGTTCTCACATATACGTACAGTATTGAAATATGTATCAGAGATATTGTAGAACATACTTTTTTAAAAGAGTATCGAATGGAGTTCCTTGCTCGTTCTTCTCCATTCGAATCTACATTTTGGAATGAGCACCTAGCTTCACCTAGCTTCACTGACGGACTGACTGACAGACTATTATTTATTTAGTATTTGTTGACGTTTTAATAGTAGGTACTACCAAATTATGGTTTGGAAATACCGGATAATAATATTGCTACTGTAAATATATATTATTTCTTATACTGTATTGTTAGAAATAAATGCTATGACTTATTAACAGTGTAATTTAATGACGTAAGCTGTAATATTGTGTTTGTAATATTTCTGAGTAAATAAATAAATATGCTACTGTGTATAATATGTTTATAATGATTTATAATGTAATACCAAGTGTAATTAAGTGAATTTATGTAATTTAGAAAACAAAGATATTAGTTTGATATTGATTTGATATAACTGAGTTTGTTGCAAATTATTGTAAAGATATAACTTTGTAAATGAGAAATTAGTATAAAATAAATATTTGCTTTAATAATTTCAATTATGTTTTTAATTGTTCCTTTTCACAAATTCTAAGAACATAAATTTGCACAGTAGGATCTTGCAAAGGTTTTGACAGAAGTCAATTTATAGGAAATACACCAAAATTATACATACGAGAGATTACAGAACTTGAGGTCGGAATAATAAAACAACTTAATTATAGAGTACATTATCAATAACAACACACACTTTAATATTTACAAATAACCTACAATTTTATTAATTCAGAATCACAGCTTAAAATTATTATCTTGGCTTAAAACTAGAAAGTAATAAAATGTACATTGTCCAAACATCACCTAATTGTAACTCGGAAAAAGTAAAAAGGGCATGAACTGTTGACATTACTTAAGGTAGTGTTCGATTCAAAATCTAGATGGCGCTTAATGAAAGAAAGTTAATTGAAATGTTAAGTACCTCGCTTATAATGGACAAGTAAGGAGAATAAATGATAATCATGTGACAAACCGAACATAAATTACCATAATATTTGACATTTCATAAAATTTTAACCTTACCATTTTATAATAAAGTCGAAATTCAGTTAAACAAAGGACTTCTAATATGAAAAGTGCGTTTGGTGTTATATTCAGAATTGAACATACTGTGGGTGATATTATGATAAATTCTACAGTTTGGGATGCTGGTACACATTGGCTACAGAAACCAGTTTATCATGATCTCGCTTTGTATGATCTCTCCACACATTCGACAGTCAGCTTATACTGGTATTGCAGAACTTGATCTGTTTAATACCGACTTACAGGAGCTGGTTGAGTCTAACCATTGTGTTCGTAATAGATATACAAAGAAATTATGAATTCGTAGCCTCAGTAGTAGACGTCACATTGTAAAATAGAGCTTCGATCAAATTCTTTTTCAAAGAATCTTCTTCGTCATTATAACTTGAAGCCTCTACGATTCTCTTTAAACATGTATTTGTAATTTTACTAACAACTTTTACAGGCTTAGGCTCCGACTGTCTAAAATACTCGTCGAAAGGGTACTAATAATCCTGCAATTTTTTTAAATCAATAGTTTTCTTAGGGTGGCGCTGTTGTCGTTTTTGTCAGCTCTCTGATGGACTTCATTTTCTTCTGTATCAAAATAGTCTTTTTGTTCGTGGGAGTAAGGGACTGATGTATTTACATACAGAGGTGTGATTGTTACAGATTGATCTTTAGTTGGTCTGCGATGTAGATTCAATGTGTAATATTTCGTAGTTCTCTCACGGGTTGGTTTTAAGTGATTTTTCGAAGATACTATTTTGTAACGTCTCTGTGTTTTTGTAATACTTCTAAACTTTAAGTATTCATTATCGTTATTCTCCATTTGTCGTCTATTTAACTTGTGTCTATTTCGATTTCTTGCCTCTTTTCTTAAGTTGTGTTCTCGAATTCTTCGCTGTTTACGTTTTAAACGAATTTTTCTCCTAATTTCGCTATCTGAGTCTGAAATTGATATACATGATTCGTCCGACGTTAAGATTGTTCGGAATTTCGGCCAATGCTGCGTCTCTTTTGCTAAGAAAATGATTTGAGTGAGAAAAAATTTTGTAGTATACCATCTGTTGGATTATTTAGGATCTATTTTCATAAGTGCTCACCTTTTATTCCGTGCTTTAAATCCTTCTCTTTGACAGTTTTCACTGAGATTTGTGGAAATCTATCCTTTATTGCTTTATTGATAGAGTCTAATAATATTTGTCGTCGTTTCGTGCCGTGGAGGCGACGAAATGGACTTAGGAAGTTTTCAATCAGAGTGGAGCAAACTAAGTAACCAGATTTCGATACTGAAAACATGAAAAACGAATATTAAACTGAATTAAAAGGTAGTTAATGGCTTCCCTAATGATTAGACTTACTTCCAGGAAATGCCTCGAATTCTCTCAGAGAATTGAACAGGTAGTCTCCCTCTTTATCCTCGTACATAAGTTCTGCATAATCTATGATTGAATTCACTTCGACAGAGAGTTCTGTCTTCCTCACACGTAGCATGTGGTACATCATAGCTGCGTAAGCTGGTGGAAGGAGAGGATCCATTAATATTAGATCCTCACAGAAAAGTGGTGTGAAGTACTTGCGTTTTTTCGTCATGTGAGGTTACTGGAGGCCGAAATTACTTCTCTCCCTAATTTTCCCAATCTCCGAATCCCCAATAATTTTTAACTTGTACAATGTCTGTAATGCATTTCTAACATCTTTGGTGTTTGGGTTGTCCATGGGTTGTTCCGATTACTTACCATCAGGTGGTCCATCTGCTCGTTTGCCGGCCAATCCCGTAAAGAAAATAAAATGGTGATGAAGCTTAGCTGCTATATGCAAACATTCAAGTGTCGACTCGACCGAAGATGACTCCTTACCATCGGGCTAATAGCTTTATTGCTAAGAATGTTTAAAAAATGCTCAAAGATTAAAACCTGGCTGGTAGAAACATTGAGGGGTTAGTGCAAATTTGTTTAACGCTAATGTCGTTTTACGTTTATGACGTCTAGCGCTCTGATTGGCAGTCCCAAGTTAACGAACCAATCAGAGGGCAAAACTCAGCAACGTTTCGATTAAAAAAAACTTGCACTAGTCACTCAGAAGTATTTTAACTTACTTCTTACTAGATCGATTGGTGCTTCGGATATAAGTCTTGATAGTTTTATAGTGACATCTAATAACGGGCTGTCTAACCAGACCAACCGACCATTTCCCTGTAGCCTGCAAAAAATTACCACTGTCAGTCTGCAATACTCCCTTTTTATAAGTAATCAAACACATTAATCAAAATTATCAGAATTGCGGACTCTCCAGGCCATCATCAACAGCCTAATAAGTGCCCACTGCTAAGCAAAGCCTCTTCTCACACGGCGAAGGTTTGAGCATTAATTACCACGCTTGCTCAATGCGGGTTGGCGATTACAAACTTATAATTAGAAATTATAAGCTCCGGTTTCCTCACGATGTTTTCCTTTACCATTTCTCAGTGTTGTCTAGATAATTTTAGAAAGTACATATAACTCTGAAAAAGTCACATTGGTCCTTGCCGTTGGCTATATCACCAACCCGTTCCTACTCCTGCACTTAGGGGCAAAGCTCGCTCGGGTCTGGTTCTGGTCACCCGTGCTCGCCGTCCCCTGCTTACGGTGGCCGGAGAACTCATCCCTTTTTTTATTTTATTTTTTGAGGGTGAAAAATCATCCAATGACTTCTCCCGACCCGGAGCCCCGGCAACCCGTTAGGCCTTACGTGGCTCCGTATCAGACATCAACCCTACTGGGCCTCATTTTTGTGGTCTGATTGCTCTTTGACGCGCGCGCAACGCGACGCGTCGTACGCACGGGAACTCAACCTAGCTGGAGAGTGTTCTACACTGTGAGAACCTCAGATCGGGCCTATCAGTCTATAAGATAAGTAAGTCAAAAAGGTTATATTTAAAAATTACTCATTGATTATAGTTTCCGTATGTATAATGACATTTTGAACATGTTTCTGATCTTTTGTAGAAATTATTCTACAAAGTTCTATTAAGAAAACGATCATATTTATATCCTTCATCCAGTTCCTTCATCATCTCGTAGTAACGATAATTCGGAGGCTTGGTCGATGGAGTAAGAATTGAAACTGAAAAATTTAAAATCATAATATTAAAAACCTCGCAATTTCATGTGAACCTTTTAGTTATAACAAACTTACCTGGTGTTGTACCTTCTAAAGGATCTACAGGTAGATAGACAGGTCTACCATCAATTATTGTCGATTTAAAAGTACTAAATTCATAATATTCAGTTGACTCGTTATGGAGATGGCCGTAGAAATTTTTTATAGTAGAGTTATGTTGTTTTGTGGATAGGTACATTGGGTAGTACTTCTTTACTTTTCTGACATGTTTATGTCTTATTTTTTTGTTGTGTGTGTGCCTCTGTCTGTGCAGTCTAGGACGTCGTGTGAGGTTGTATCCGTGGTGTATTATTGGTTTATTTTGTACAAAGTGTTGGTACCATCGTGGTGTTATCTGTTGCGGTGCTAGAAACAATGTTTTGGTTAGTGGATTTGAAGTAGACCAATAATAAGGAAACCTTAATTTTCTTGCAACTGCCTTATTTGGCCGAGTGGTTACAAGTCATTGTCGGGTAAGAGGTCGCGGTTTCGATTCCCGAAAGGGGCAAGGTATTAATGGGTATAAAAGAATTCTCAGTAGTAGCATGGAATCTGAAATTGTCCCCGGTATATGGCAATAGGCTGACCCCCTATTACATAGGACTCATTACATGAATAGTAACAATGTACAGTGGCATTAACGTTTTTTGATACCGCATATCGAGCTTCCCTAAACATCATATTGAACTTTACTCATCCATTACTAGAGTTTGGAATAGATTTTGGCAGGGATAAGTTATGTCGTAAGTGCCGTAATGTGCACCACTGCCTACCCTTTATTTTATTTATTTTATTAGGTTATTGGCAAATATCGGTCGCTCTATATGAGAGACTGACATACAGAGTTCCATACCTAACAATGGTAATAAAACGCTTACTTGTAAAATCACTTGCTTTTATCTTCCATCTATTAGAAGACATGAAATTAGTCATCTCTTGCTGCCATAAGCTATGAAACTTATTTGTTGTTTTGTAAGACCACGACGCAAGAGGAGGAATTTTGGACTGAAGAGGAGAAGATGTAGGATATGAAATAGCAAGTATTGATAAAGGAGCTAAAGAAGCAGATGTTTTAGGTGGAGAAGAGGTTGTAGTGACTTCATAGATGATTCTAGAAATAGGTGTAAATAGATGTAATTTTTGATAAAAGGAAAGTTCCGGTATGAATGTAGCAATATTGTTGAACGTCTTTCGTCCAATACTAGTTGTACTCATAGAGGATGGAGTTGTACTCATAGAGGATGGAGTTGTACTCATAGAGGATGGAGTTGTACTCATAGATGATGAAGTACTTTTTATTGAGGTAAAACTTTCAACCTCTTCTTTTAAATTATATATCTGATTAAATTTTACTACGGCTAGTTTGTTAGAAGTAATATTTGGTGAAGTTCCTTTAGTAGGAGCTAATGTCGATGGACGAGTGGACTTAGTTTTTGAAGTAGTCAAAACAGATGATTTAGTTGCAACAGTTTTAGAAGTTGGTTTGCTAGGAGAGATAACTGAACGAAAAGTAAATTGTTCAGGCACTCGATGTGTTGAAAATGTCACTTTTTGAAATATTTTATCAAAGATATTTCTTGGAATACTAAGAGATGTAAACGTAGAAGCATGGCCGACCTGTTTAGGCTTTATTGTAACAGAACTTGGTTTAGTTGTAGAATTTATTTTAATTGTAGTTTTAGGTGTAGAGACAGATGTGGCAGAAGTACGTAAAACATTTTCAGTTAGTACAGGAATCGGAAACAAAGGTTTGCTGACGTAATTTGGAAATTTATGAAGTTTTAAATTACTTTTAGTCTGAATAGATTTAGTCGTGAATAATCTAGCTCGAAGGTTCGGTATTTTTGGATCTTTCACTACTTTGTCATTTCTCTCTGTTTCTTTCATACTCCTTAACGGTTTTTTATTTTTGTTTAATACTATTTTAAGGTCTCTGAAGAAGGCGTTCACCATCTTCATCCTCTCCTGGTGATTTTCCATAAGTTCTGTCTCGTTGAAGTTATCTGGAAGGAGGTTTTTGCGTTTGAATATTTTTTGAAAAATGTTTAGTGCCTCAAAAAGTGTTCAGAGTTGCTGAATTTGAGTGTGGTACTTCTTAGTAATACAGTACAATACGTGTGACTACGGTGCTGAGAATAAAGTATGTATTTGTCGAAACTTTATTAAATAGGTTAAAAATCGGAATGATATAAAATAGTATGGTACCTGGCTTGTGTAAGTCATCACTATGAACTAGACTATAGTGTAATAATAAAGCTAACAATAATATTAGCCTAGTAGTCTCCATGTTTATGAATCCTTCTTATATCTTGGTTTTGTCATCTGGACTTAGAAACATATTTGAAAATTCGTTTAATTTCCACAAGAAATTTAACACTGTGTATAATCTTTAGGTATTTAAAATAGATTCTTAGTAGTCGATGAAGCTCACAAAATATTGAGTTTATTTATGTTATCTTTAATGTTAATACAGACACTGTTTGATTCAAAAATCAATGTGAAATTGCACGAGTCATAACTGGTTTCATTTTTTAATGTAAATTATTAGATTTTCATAAAAGAGAACACAAAACAAGAAATTCTTGAAACTTTTAACATTGAGTTTAAAATCAGTAACAATTCCAATGTTTATTGTCAATAAAATAGTTGTAATAATTTTATTGGATTACAAATATAAAAATAGTTGCTCGCGCAATGTATTACAAGTTTTATGGTACAATAAAATGCTAGTACTTTTTATATTAAAATGAAAATGTTCGCTTGTGTTCTGCTGGTCACCATATTCGGTATTTATTTTATTTATAATAAGTTTTACATTACAATCAGTTTCTTACAAATATCATGTGTTTAATACAATTTTATTGTATAGCATTTATTTCTTGATCATTTGCTTCGAAACTCTTAAATCTAAAACTTGAATTTGACATCTGTATAGAGAAGTGATTGTATTAGATCCCCTACACGTCTGCAATTTCACAATAACACATTTTGGTAACGAGAATGAAAGCCGAACCGATAATTATAGATTTTGTTAAGTCAAAATTACAATTCTTCTAACTTTATCACATTCTTTTAAATAGATATTCCAAGAAAATTACGTTGAATCTTCGATAGAAAACTGATGGAAGCAAATCTTCTACTAAAGTTGGCTATTACACACGTGTACACTGTCACGTCAAGAGAATGTGACAATGCCGCACAACTTGCATAAATGTGCGCGAGAGATCTGATACAAATATCTTATGATAGTTCACACGTTAGTAACGGCCCAACTATTACGTCCATCAACTATGCTGTTTAAACATGAACGAATAATTTATTCAAACTTTATATAACAATTTTCATATTCCAGCTCATACGAACACACTGCCACAGCAACCTGAGGATCCAGACAAAAATGTCAATCTGGCTTTAGAAACTGTCCTAGAGTTTTCTAATAAATACCAATCAGGCGAAGAAAAACTGCTAAACGTCGTTCAAAATTTTATCAACAGACTTAAAGGTGAAATGCATCAAGATAAACGAAGTAAATCTGGAAAACATTCAAGGAGATCTTCAAGCGATAGCAAGAATGAACTAGAAATATTAGGCCTTAAAATCATCGATAGATTAAATTATTTAGAGAATCAGGTAGATGAAATAAAGCAAAACAACGCTCTGAAGGATTGTCCGACAGACGACAAAAACCAAACTGTAAATTGCTTCAGTAGAAGTAGTAGTGGAAGAGATATAAATGGCGACGGATTTGTCAAACTTGTTGAAGTCCAAAAAGGAAGTTTGAGGCAAAAATATAACATTACGGATGACACGAGCGAGATTGTTATTAGGAAATGCGATAAATGTAACGTTTCAAGGATATATAGAAAGATCTTAAAGACAAACGTGAGAGAAACGAATGAAGCTGCATCATCGAATCATACGGATACCTTTATGACAACGTCTAATCTGAAATTATATCAGGAGGAATTGAATCCGCATCATCATCATCACAACAGACCAAGAATGAATACAAGAACTAGAATATATCACACGACTGCGAAATCAAGTGATGAAGTCAAGTTCGACCAAACAATTGTAAGATTAAATAAAACGAAATTGTCATTGGATAATAGACAAAGATCAGTTGATCTTACAACGATAGCAACAGAGGCTACATCAACAGTAAATTTAACTCTAGCAACGAATGAAATAATTCGTAATTTTAGCAGAACCTTTCCTCTATCTGCTAGCTACGTCCCGATAGATGGTAGAAAGTTTAATGACAAAAATACAAGTTCTATTGGGGAATTGATAAAAGAATTAAATGATAGGAATTTTGAAAGTAAAACTGCGAAAGACAAAGCAATATCTAATAAAGTTATGGATTTTTTTTCTCTTCCACATAATCCTGTATTTCGTCCGTCCAATGTATGGTGATTTAGTTTCAATAAATAAAAAACATCTCAAATGAATTAATAAGAATTTTTCGACTGTCTCATGACTCAATAAAGTTTTGTAAAAATTAAAGTGCTATTATTTTTATCGAACAATTTTAATTATTTTTACAGCGAATGTGTTCTCTCCTTGAGTCCCACATTTGGCGCTAAATTACCGAGTTAGGTCAATAACAGTTCTAAGGATCTTAAAGCTTAAGAAATCTTTTTATTTATAGTAGTTACTTTCGCGCTATTTCACTCACTCTGCTCGGCTCCTATTAATCGTGGCTTGATGCTATAGCGTCCCTCGATAAATGTGCTATCCAACACAAAAATATTTTTTTAAATCGGACCAGTTGTTGCTGATATTATCGCTTGCAAACAAACAAACTCTCCAGCTTTATATTATAATAGTATAAGAGGTATAAGATAATATTTTATAGTCTTAGACTGCTTTGTTGGTTGTTGGAAGTGTAATTGCCGAACAAAGGGTTTCAGGATCGCTACCCAGCTCAGTCAGTCAGGTAATTTCACGGTGTTTAGAACTGGACTAGATTTATGACAATAGACGCATCTCCCTATTATATGGGACTCATAGCATTACCGGTGAAAAGTAGGTGTTACATTGTATATGTGGACCTCTGAGTGATGTTCTATTATTATTCGTCTTATGATGTAATTATTGTCGATGTAATTAAGTATAAATTTTGAAAATGCTGGATTTGCTAAGAATGTGCTTGGTAGAACTGAAACTAATTAACATATTAAATTCTTTAGAACCGGGGATACCCTGGCGAATCGTATGATTACAATTAGTGCATAGATTGGATTCTCTGACTACTGCTATAATTATGTGTTTAGAATTCTGTCTCTAATTGTCATAAAAATAAAAATATGCTTAGTATTGAACTATGGCAAAAAATGTTAAGCGCGCCATCTCTTAGTAGTTACTGAAACTAAATATCTTCAATTTATCTCGGTAGATGTCGCTACGGTTAGCCGACGAAAATCAACTAAAAGTACGTCACTAATTAAATCTGTACTATCGACATTTCTAGCTGTCATGTTGTCGCCGTCATCTGTCAAATGTGACAGATTAGAATTTAGTTTCCCGCGCAAAGAGTGATAACGCGTAGGGATACGGTATCGAAGCATAAGTATCGATACTGTATTCATGAGTAGATAGTAGATATTCGATAAAAAAGTATCGTGATACTTCAAGGTATCGAGTACTTTTTTAGATCAAAAATTGCATAGAACAAAGGTCAGTAAATAATGTCGGTACCTATTACTTCAGTTCGGCAGGAAATAAAAAAAAAAAAATAAATAAAAATAAAAATAAAAATATAGAACAATAATAAAAAAATATGATACACATTGTATGTAGTACCTAGTATGAAATGTAGGAAAAAGAAACAATATTAAGTTATTTTAGGTATATTAAATACTAGCAGTGTCCCACGGTTTCACCCGCGTAGTAGATAAAAGATCCCATTCCTCCACCATTCAATCACTTAAAAATAGAAGTTTGTTGAGCCTTTATAGAGATAAGCAGTTTAGGATTTTTGTGATGGTACTTCCTGCTTTAGAAAATAATTGTTCTGAAGGTACTGACGACACAGGATTAGATGACTGTACGGTTGGTGCGGTGGCTGGGCAACCGGCTGCCGTGCAACGTGTCGCGGGTTCGATTCCCGCACGGAACAACACTTTGTGTGATCCACAAATTGTTGTTTCGGGTCTGGGTGTCATATGTATGTGAACTTGCATGTTTGTAAACGCACCCACGACACAGGAGAAAATCCTAGTGTGGGGCAACGGTTATTTTAAATAAAATAAAAATGAAAAAAAAAAGATATACATTCTCGTGTCAATTTATATAATTTTGGGTACACTTCTTTGGGAATTTAACTGCGAATGACCACACGGTAAGAATAAGATCAATCGATCGAATTAAAACGTTTTCAAGAAGTCAGCTAGATGGCACTGTTAAACTAAATTTTTCATTTGATACGATACCTGGGAAAATGTATCGAATGCTAAGTATCGAGTACAAAAGTATCGGTATCGAATGGGAATGCACTCGATACCACAAAGCATCGATACTTTTTTCGTGACCCTAATAACGCGCGATTCTGGTGGGAACTGGGAAGTTTGACGATCATCACGCATCACGCTGTGTTCTTGTCAGAATCCGTTTAGAAATTTAGAATAAACTATTCAGTAATCAAGTATTAAGTTTTACTTAAAAGTTTCAGAGGTGATATAAGACTTACGTGCAGTGATAAGTGATTACATTAATAAAGTTCGGCAGCTGTACAATTACGAAAGAGGATGTATTCTTAAGTTTTGCTTTTTGTGAAAGACAATCATCATTTTGTGCTCGGCCTATGAACACGATAAAACTTGCTTTTCGATGATTCTCAAAAACTTTAATCGCTAGCAAAGTTTTGTGAATGTGTGTTTTGTTGTGCTTATGAAGGACTTCCACTTTTTCTACTCAATGCATGCTTGGCTCAAGTGCTTGAAACTGGTGATTGGTGAGCTTTTTCCATGTTGCACTTTTATCTATGCTTGAGCTGAAATTGGACTCACTATAACTTTTTTTATTTTGTAACAGTAAAGGACTATTAGAACATTAACTAATATCTAAAGAATGCTGCATCTTGTACATGATTGGTGGTGCTGATTGTGACCTAATGTAGCTACTTTATATCTTAAATATAATTAATTTAATTATTTTCATATTATTAAGTGCATAAGTCAGTTACTTAACCACATTTTTTATTAATAACATTCTATCAAGTGCTATAGAACACTAATTTTCTAACAATGCTATATTGCTGAAGAATATTTATTTATTTATTTAATA